GTGGAAGATTGTGATAAAGGAGTGAGTGGAGCTTTACATTACTTTCATGCTTCTTTTGATTCCTTGGATAGTCTTTTTGGATTTTATAAAGTACATAGCAAGCTCAATGCGGCAGTACATTTTACATTTTAAAGGGAAGACTACACACACCCTTTACATTCCGTTTTGTCTACCAAATATTGCTTAGACTGTTGATCATACTTGATGAGTTGGTGTACAGAGATTGTGAAAATGGGATAGAAGAAGTTATTACTGGTAGAACAATTGTTTTTGTTACTAGAGCAAGTTTTAACCAAACACGGCACTGCTCCTAACTTCTTTTCCCTGGATACTTTCATTCTGATTTTTATGTTGTATTAGAGACTAGCTTGTCCAAGCTATATTGTGTGGCTTTAATTTCCATAAAAGTCTTTCCTTAATCTAAAATATTTAGTTTGTCATGTCAAATATATTCTATCATTTATCATGAAGGTGATGTAACTGTCATATAGGTTTTGCTTGTATGTTCAGCTGGTTCTGAAAATCTCAATTGATGCAGAGGAGTCCAATGTGATTTTCAGTTATAATTCTGGACTGTTACAATCCTTACTTTTATATTTAGAACTCAAATGAAGACCAGGAAGAGAAATTTGGATGTTATTCTGAACGTGATGCATGATTTTATCAATCTCCTTGTCTTATCTAAAAAATTGTTGCTGCTTTCGTAAAGTTCAAAACAATCTTTGTGCAAATGAGTACTGTCTGTGCTGGTTAGAAATTTGAGTGATTATGAAGCTCTGGAAATTATGTTTGCAGTTTAAGTGGTAGAGTTCCAATGCTACACCGACATATTGTGTTGGCAACATGGTGTGAAAATTGGCAACAAATTTTAATTATTCTTTTTATAGCCGTTTGTGAAAATTGGCACCAAATTTAAATTTCTCAAATTTATTTTCAAAACTATATAAACCCTCACCCGTTCCCATCTGTTTTCACAATCAATTATTATCCCTTTTTTCTAATTTCTCCTACTCAACTCGTGATTTATCACAATGTTAATTCTCTCACATTTTATATATTCAATTATTTAAATATCATTTTATTATTTAGTATTTATTTTACGTAATTGTTTAAATATTTTTTCAAATTTTAACACAATCTTTAATTAGTCTTGTTTTATATATAATGGATTTTAAGAGTTCATTTGATACTGAGTTGAACAAGTTAAACTATAGCTGTAGACTCCCCCTAATTATCATCAATTTGCAAATCTTAACGATGTACCAAATCTTTCTAACCTTCAAATTTATGTCCATTTTGATGATTATGTCTTGGATTTGGAAATGCTGTCTTCAAAAAAGTCTTGAGAACAAAAAAAATAAAAAAATATTAAAAATAAACTCCTGTGTGACAAACTTTTACACTAGAGAAAGTCATTTTTAATGGAAATGAACTACTCTGAGAGTTCGTAAATATTGGAAATAAGGTTTTGCTTGAAAACTTGTAGTGGCACGATCTCTTGCATAGGCATATGCAGAAATGTGTTATTATATTTTTCTTTACTTTGATATGCAATATCCCCTGCACCAATGCCAGCACCATGAAACACCAACAAACTGGCAATTTAGGTTTATTTCTTGACTCTTGATATTTAACT